ATTCACTTATTTTGCCACTTTTGCAACTCAGAAAAGAGTTACGGAAATAGAATGTTTCTAACCTGCCTAGTGCAGATACGATATAGTCACAACACATTTAACGCAGATCTCAGGTTTTAAGATTTTGCGCTTCTTGGTGTTAGAGTTCATTAAATGTTTAATTCACTTCGAATTCCAAGGAATTTGATATTTAATGATAATAATGTTAAAATAGGATCTAACAGCCACCAATGTACAGGATTAATGAGATTTCTAAAATATAACTACCATGAAAAAACTCAGCTTGTTGTATTTGTTGCCAAAATTGAATGTTCATTCAGTTCACAGTTTAATTCCCACTTGTGGGAATTTTGAAACATAGAAACAATTGTCTTACCTGGTTAGCCCTTGACTAAGTCAGTAGCATACCTGCAGGAGAATATCTTGTTTGTAGTAATATATCCCAGTTCTGGTTGGTTTCACTCTTGAAATGACTTAATTTGTATAAATGTTATGAGTGGAGAGACCATCTACATGTTAAAAGCATGTTGCATTATATATAGATTGATTTTTTTTAAATCTATAAATGTAAAACTAATACAAATACAGAAATATTTTTCCTAAACAGTGTATAACAAAATTCTCCGCAGTAACTTACCCGCTGTTTGCAGTTTATACAATCTAAACTTTTAAAGAAATTCCTTAAATGTATATTTTGTATTATGTATCATTTCCTGGTCCAAAGAAAATATGTGAATTCAGTTCTAACTTTAAGAATGTACTTTTTGTTTTCAAGTCCGTTAGAGAAATTGCATTCAGCCTGTGAATGGTTGCAGATTATATGTGAGATGAAAAGTAGAAATAATTTCTAGTTTGCAAAACTGGTGCCACTAAATAAACAGGCAATGGCATAATGTGTGTGTATTTATGATTGATATTGCAAGCCGTATTTTTGTTCTGGCTAAAAACTTGGAAAATTTGAAATTAGTTATTAGGAGTCCTTAAGAGAATTTTTTTCAGTTGAACTTGGTTAATTTGCTTAAAAAGGTAGATCTAATAGTCACAGTCTAAACTAGACCTGTCCCATTCTGACTTCAGGAAGATTATTAAAAGTAAGTTGGATTGATGGTTATTTTTCATGAAAACATTCCGGAAATACAGAAGCCAGAAGTAGTTTCTGTTTGGCAAGAATGCTGCCCATTGTCGTCTTATAGATGATGTACACTTCTTAAACCCTTGAAGAGTTGAGACTGGGAATTGGGAATGGTCTGGAAAAGGACTTCTCCACCTAGTATCCCTGGTGTAGTGCCTGCTTCCTAGTAGACATGCATGTGTTTGTGTTTAGGATGCTTCCATTGCGAATTCTGATAAGTGGTTGTACTACCTGTGTCCATTCTTATCTGAAAGTGACATTTCATAGGCTTACACAATTAGAGGGATTTTAGAGTACATTGAATTGGTGATGTAAGTGAACTGTGACTGCAGGAGCTTATTTTGTTTGTTGTAAAATGTATAACGAAATCACAATAATGAGGCATCCTAACCAAAGGTAGTAGGTCTTAGAACTAAATAAAGTTGAGACAAATAAGGATTTATTTGGCTTATGTGTAACTAGTACCTGTTCTCTTGTCAAGGTGATTCCTTTCGTTTTTTGTACTTTTTCATTTGAAAGTTGAAGCTAGGTTTTTTTGGGGGTGGGGGTAGTAAACATTTTTTATTCCAGTTATTTTTCCCCTTGATTACTTCCAGAGAAACCAATACTGAGGTACTTGTCTTTCTCTTTTCCTTGTTATCACTTAATAGCTTAGAAAAGTCTTTCTTTGGTAAAGGTGGCTGAGTACTCTGACTTTGTTCTAGATGACAATCAAACTCTCACTTAGCTTGTAGCCATGCTACGCCCTTCCCAAAGATCTTTTTTTGTATTATATTTTGCTACTTGTGTTGGTAACAGTTGACTAAAATTGTCTAGTATTTAAAAATTAAAGGATTCGCTAGAAGAGTGTGACTGTTATAGATGAAAGAGGTTGTATGTGTACCTTACATTAGCATTCTGAAAACATTCCAGGACTGTTTGTCTTCTGAATTCTCAGCACATCTTGGATACACGTTCTGTTTAATGAAGAAAGCGAAGGTTTTATTATGTATCTATTTTACTATTATCAAAGAATTATTCTTAATTATTTTAGCCAATGATATATATTAACTGCTTACTAACAAAATTGAAAGATTTTTTAAGACAAAGTCTCCAGAACATTCCTAACATAACTAAAATTTTCTAGTGATTGGATGGGAAGTTGTTTTTGAAACGTCATTTTAGGCAAATAAAAGTCTCATGTAATCTTGTAAATTCAACTTTTATAACTGGCTGCACGTTCTTGATGTATTTTGACAGACTCTTTGCTGTAGTGATCCTTAATAAAAAGAAAGAGTTCTTAGCATTTGATAAGGGCAATGAAACTGATTCTGTGCCTAGATCGCAGAAAGGAAGCTTGCTTGGTGTTCTCCTTTCTTGGTATTTACTTTTATATCTGAAATCAGAATGTTCGCCTTGTTTTTTCCCTTTGGTTTTGTTTTAAATATATAACTTCCTAGACTACATTCTACTTTAGGACTTTTGCAAACATTTGTTATAAAAGTGTGAGGGTGTTGAATTCTGCCTCCTTGGATATCATATAAGGGTTTGCCACGTGCTCTCTCCTGAGTTTTACAATCGGACTGTTTTATGACAATATGACTAAAAGTGTATTACAGATGCATGTATAAGGATCCTTGTTCAAGGTCAACTCCACAGTACCTGTCACTAGTCTTACTGGTTCAACTTGACTTTCAGAGAGGTTTTACCAGCTTTACAACCAGATGGATTTGGCATCTGACAGGGACCACAGTATCAGTAAAAGCTTCATCTCAGGAGGAGCAGGGCTCCAAGAGGGAAACTTCCTGGAAAGCAAGTCTCCATAATTTGAGATAAGGAAGAAGATAGTATCAATTTTTGAAGATCACATAGTTGGTTCTCTAAATCTGCTGGAACTGGAACTGTCTTAATAGTTTTCTTGGGCTGAAAATCAAACACATGTCCAAAAATCATTTGTTCAGGTATAAAAATTTGAATGTGAAAGTAATTGTACTTTTTAATCTTAGAATCTGATTTTCTTGGACTTTAACTTGAAGTCATTTAATGAAGTTGGCATTTTATTTATGACAAGGAAGGAAGAAGAAAAGACTATGGAGGAGGGGAAGAAAAGGAGATAAATACTAAGGGCAAAAGTCGGTTTTAAAGTGAAAAAATAAGATATCTTTTTAAGTTAAGAAAATTCTATTTTTCTGAAATTCAAATGTAACTAACCAATTTAGTCCCTATAGATCACCCTTGGGTTTTATAGCAGTCAATAATGCATCACTGGGTGGTAGATTAGTCAAGTCTCTCTTTGTTCTCCCTCCATTATGTTCCCCCAAAGTATCAGGGAAAAGAGATGATCTAACTCAGTTGCCAACTGTCACCTGTATGTTCAATTAGGAAGAAACAAAAAAAGTTTAAGGTAAGGATTACAGGTTTCCCTTTTATTATCAGTTTTATTCTCTGAAGCATTGGTTCTCAACGTGCCACCTGTCAGCAAGATAGGATGACCTCAGAAGCTTAAAAAAGTACTTCAGCATTAAAGATCAAGTTGGAAGGTTCATACTGAAAGTGTCCCCTCCACCTGAGAGAATGCATGCATCCTCCTGTGCCCCTCGTCAGATCTTCTATTTAAATCTCTGGGATGGTTCCTCTTTCACTCAATAAAAGCCAGAGTCCTTACAGTGGCCTACAAAGCCCCCTATATGATCTGGTCCCTCTGACCTTTCAGACTCGTCTCCCTCCCTCTGCTTTAGCCACGCTGGTTCCTGGCTATACCCAGAATTTGCCTGTTCTCACTCAAACCCTGCGGTCTTACAGGTGCTTGCTTTAGCTGTTCCCTCTACCTGGACTGTTTTCATTGGTCAAAGCAGGTCACATCTAACTTCAAGGTGACCAGAAAGGAACAAACTAGAATACTTGTGAACAACCCTAGTTACCATGGGGCCCAATATGCATTCCATGGCAGTATAAGCCTGTGGATGCGTGGCCTTATGTATGCTTCAGGAGACCGTCTAACTTGAACTGTGCACTTTGAACAAGTGCTGGTAGCAGATGTGCAGGGACGTGTGAGGTGGTCTCATTGTAAGTACTCATAAACATTAGAAAGAGGTCAATGTTCCTGCATCTTTGGGGATGAAGTGAAATGCCCAGTATTGTGGCCTAGGTTAGATTTGCAAAGGCAGAGCTAAGTAGGAAGAATTCCAAGCAGAAGATACAGGTGAACAAGGTAGGCAAGGTGGCTGAGGCCAGGGAAGATGTTTATCTTAGCAAGGACTTCCCACACTCAGACCCCCTTAGAGGGCTGAGAACTGTATATCCCTAAGAAGGCCTGCTTTTGATGTTCTTTGCTGCTCAAGCGTTCTCTACCTTATATGACATTGCTTATCTCAAATCAGCTTTACTCTTTAAGTCCAGTAGCGTTTCGGTAACATGGAAAAATTGTCCTCCCCTCATACACCACCCAGTGTAGTGCTGCCCCAAACCTAATAGTCTTTAAATAATTTTGGCTGATTGCCCAGTCAGAAAAATGTGTTAAGTACCCCACCTGAGTGGAATGTTCAGGAGCCTCTGAAAGAGATACAGGCTGTGAAGTGCCTTGGCAGTGGTCTGACAGACCCGTGGATCCACGTAGAAGACGTCCTTCATAAACTTGGCTGAGCCCCGTGGAGCTGGCCTGGCTAGCACCTGGCCAGCATGAGCCAGGAGCTGTGGTCTAATAAGAACTGTGCACTTAAAGGCGAGTGCATGGGAGCAGAGAGGCGGGGACCACATGAAATGCTGTTTGAGGTTTCCTGTTTGCTCTACCTCCTCTGCCATCACCACCCTCCGAGCCAAAACAAAATAATACTAACATTCAGGAGGCAAAGT